TCTTTCCATGAAATACCGACTATAATACATTCTGAATTAACGGTAATTAGCAAGCCAAAAAGAAATACAGTTAACTTGACAAATTTATGCAATGATCCGGAAAAAGTGCAGACATTGCAGGATCCACGTAACATTGAAGATCATTTTGATAATAATGTAGAGGGAGTTAGCTATGCTGAGCACCGCTGCGTAAGGTTTGACGAAGCCGTGGCCGTGTGCAATGCCGCCAGGCAGAATTCCGGCTCTGCGCGTACCGATCATGCCATCGATTCCGTTATAGCTGATTTAGCAGCAGAGGCCGCAAAGGAATTGGAGCAAGAAGGGCGGGAAAAATGTAAAAAAATAAACTGTAAGCCACCAGAGATGAGAGACTTGAAAAGTGGTTTAACCCTAAAGGGCTGTTCTTTAGAAGCACAAAGCCTTCTGATGGTTACCGGAGGAAAAATGCCATCCTCTTGCGAACCGAGAAATCTTAACGAAATGTTCTACTACCCTTCAGAATCTGTTTCAACGAATGAAGATCACCATGACTCTTTGTCGTCCGTAAACGAGGAGCAAAGAAAAATTATTGAAAAACTTTTCGAGACACGAAGCACTCAAGCCAATCTCTCCATAATGCGTAAATATTTTATCAGATGGACGCATTTTAAAACTATCGAGAAAATCGAACGTGAAAATGTTGGCGATTGCCGCTTAGATCGCGTCGGGAAAATTAACATATTTCTGGATAAGGTGCGTTTTGAAAAAGATCGCCTGAATAAGTTACAGAAAACTGCAACAGCGGATGGACTTGCAGAGGAAAATGTAGTCAATAGCAAGAAAGATATCGCCTCGAATGTGATAAAGGCTAAAAAATATCAAAACAAGTCAGTGCATCGTGAAAATAGATTGGAAATAATTACTTGGTACTGTTGTTGTTTTTTTACTTTTTTATAGGATTAAGGTTCAGCAGGATATAATTGATTTACAGCGTGTAAAATTGGAACGCCAGGAACGAATTATAATGGAATTGAAATTGGGAAAGTTGTCGGAGGAAACGAAAGAGGCCAGACAAGAGCTTAAGGAAGATTTAAAAACTGCTATACGTTCCGGCGATCCCAAGTTGAAAGCGAAGGCAAAAACTTTGCAATTGATAGGCAATTTGAAGGACCGGAACGATGACGATAGATTTGGACGATTGGAAGGGAAAGCCTTGGAGCCAGCTTTCCTTAGGAATATGCAAGAGAGAGCCTTAGCCAGAAGTATAAGACAGGAACAAGCTCGACAAAGGCGTTTGAAAATTGAAGCTGAGAAGGAGGCACAAAAACTAGCTCTGGAAGAAGCTAAAGTAAATAAATATTAAAATATCATTTTTGATTATCATCCTTCCAATAGCGAATAAAACTTCCCCCCCCCTATTTTTTTCTCTTAAGCGGTTAGAAGATGAGGAAACTAAACGCTTACGCGTGGAAACTTGGAATGAGAAACGTCGTCAAGAGCGAATGGCGAAGATACTTAAAGAACGTGAGAGACAGAGGGCTGCTGATAATATGAAAAAAGCTCAGGAATTTTGTAGACGTTTACTTTTATCACGTATCGGAATGGAAGGATTTAAACGGCTGCTGGAACGTAGACGTGAAAAATTTCGCAAATATCAAGAGCTTCGACTTAAATTAAATAAGAAACGATATTTACAAGCTTGGTTTACGGTTTATTGCATAGCTAAGGCTAGACGAGATAAAAAGGCTGATGACTTTTACGAATGCATTTTGAAAAGACGAATAATGAACTGGTGGTGTTGTTATGTGGAAATGGAACGCAGTAAAGTCAATGTCGCAGTAGATTGGTATGATTTCAAGTTAGTTGAAGGCGTGTTTCGTAAATGGTGGGCCCATGCCAAACGTATGCGGATAATAGAAGAAAGCAAAATGAAACAAGCCTGTTCGCATCATGAATGGTAAGCGTTTAATTTGTTATTTGGACAAGGCTCTAAAGGATTTGCTTTTACTTCAGGCAATTGAAATGGAAGGTTTTAGATTGTTGGCGCCGTTTGAAGCAAATGTTACAACTGGAGAGAGAGACCGAAGAAAGACGTCAAAAATGGCGTATGAAAATTTGGGAACTTATTCCCGATTATACTCCGGCAAAGGATGACTTGGAATTCATATGAAATATTTATGTAAATATAAACGAAAATAGTCGCAGCCAAGTCATTCTCAATAAAGGATAAAAAAAACGATTATGCAAACAAGAATTAAAACGTTCTCTTATATAGCTTGCAGTTCACATAATTAAGAAAAAAAAAAAAACTCGATTCCTTAAATGTTGCAATCACTTTGGATCATTGCATAAGTGTTTTCTTTTTTTTTTTTCATCTTATTTGCAAAATGTGAATGTTTAATTAATTAGAAAACAACAATAGCTGATAAGCCTCTGAGGAGAGAGATTGTGTATACCATAGTAAAAGTTTTAAAGCTAAGCCGTTCAGAAATGCATTAACATCTTCGTCCCAAAGAAGATTTCTTAAGCTGCTCTATCTTTTTTATTATTTTTGCTAACTTTTTTACTGTTCGCTGACGCTGCTTCCAATTCGATTGGCGCTGGCTTTACAAATGGTATCTCCTCGCGATAAATTTCGGGCATGTATTTCTTTAAAGGTTCAGGAACTGTAACGCCAGTTTCGGTTTGATGATTTTCCAGAATGGCGCAAATAACACGGGTGGTGGCACACATGGTAGCGTTCAACATGTGAACATAATCGACGGAAGCATTCATTTTCTTGGTTTGCCCGTAACGCACCAGAAGGCGTCGCGCCTGATAATCTAAACAATTCGAGCAAGAGACTAATTCGCGGAACGCTCCACTCCCGGGAAACCATGCTTCTAAATCTAGCTTTTTAGCTGCAGCGTGATTAAGAGCCCCTGAGACAATGTTTACAATACGATATGGAATGCCGAGAGATTGGCAAAAATCTTCTGCATTGCCGATCATTTCACCCATCATTTCCCAAGATTTGTTGTCATGAGGAGATGTTAAAACAAATTGCTCCACTTTTTCGAACTGGTGAACCCGGAATATGCCACGAGTATCGCGACCATGAGAACCGACTTCTTGACGAAAGCAAGTGGATAAGCCGGCATATTTAATGGGTAATGCCGACTCGGATAGCCATTCGTCACGATGATAAGCAGCTATCGGCTGCTCAGAAGTCGCTATCAAATATTTCTCATCACTTGATCCCTCCTCGGCTCGTTCGCTTCCTTTACCAACAACCTTATAAAGCTCTTCATCGAATTGAGATAATTGAGCCACCTCTTGCATTACTTCTTTGCGCATAAAGAAAGGGGTATATAAAGGCGTGTAGTTTTTCGCATATAACATATGTAAAGCATGCTGTATAAGAGCCTGTTCTAAGAATACAGCTGGGCCAGTTAAAAAGTACCCCCGTCCCCCGGAAACAACGGCGCCCTTATCACCATTCATTCCATCAATCATAACGATCAGATCTACATGCGAATACTTGGCTTGTTTCTCACAATTGCTATACATACGTTCCACTTTATTTTCATCTTCATCATTAGACACCGGTACTGATTCATGCAAATGATTGCCCACTTCCCGCAAGGCTAGATTACGTTTCTCTTCGTTTGCTTGCAATAGGCT